GCTGTGGTGAGTATTCATTAATTGAATGTTTTAAACATTCCAGATCCTGCACTCATGTTTTGAGTGATACATAGCAAATTCCTTAGAATAATGCTGTTTTGAGATCCCGGTGGTTCTGTACACGTAGCTGGTTCAGCCACCACCATGTGACAGCCCAGTGTAGGTATCATTCTCTTTCTCTGAGTCCTACCTGAACTTCCTGGCTATCTGGACGGGGAACCCAGTACTTCCCCACCTTGGAAGCATGGGCTGGAGAGAGGGTGAACAATGTGGAAGGTGAGGGACGTGAAAGCTCATGGGACTCTCAGGCCTTGTTGAAGGGAGATTGGCCAGGCAAACTCCATGAAGGAGAAGGTTTTGGGCAGATAAAAATGACTAGGGTGACAATCAGTGAGTTCCACTTTAAACACCAGAATTCTGTGAGCTGTACTTCTGTGAACTTTCAGATGTATTTAGAATATAGTAAATGCATGCAAAAACACCTGGTGGGTATGCTTTGCATTTTGGGGAAACAATGATGAATGAAGTTTCCTGGGAGTACAAGGGCCAAGGTTGCACTCCTGGTCCTGCATGTAGATGGTGCATAAGTGCTTGAGTCTGTCCGTGCAGGGTCAGTGTAGGTATAATGGTTATCAGTGACAGCTGAAAAACACTCAACTAGCCCCCATCCAAGCTTTTATATGAGTAGAATAAGTATTGTATTTTTAACAAAAGTTAATGGTTACATTATGGGGGAGGAAACAAATATTTGATTTTGTTGCTTAACAAAGAGCACAGGGTTCATGGGTTCCTACATTTGCTTTGTAGTTACCCCTTGGACTTTCTGGGAGAAACTGATTTCCAGAAGTAGTTTTTTTTTTTATGTTTTGCACTTAAAAAAATTTTTTTTTAAGAGAAAGACTCTATTTTGGACCTTTGACAATACAGTGTCTCTAATTACTTTGTTGAGTAAAAGAGCCAATGGATTTGGAGCAGGAAGCCTAGTTTTTGTTCCTAATGCAGCTGTTTACTTCTCAGTGACTTTGGGAATCTGGAGCGAGTCACTAGGAAGTGAGGTCATGTGTTCTCTGAGGCTCCTTCCTGCTTAGATTTGTTGGTCTTTGTCTTGCAACTTTGTACACAGAAATATGATTGATTAAATTATGTTTATTGTTATCTAGCCCATTGGTAAGTTTTTTTTTTTTTTTTTTTTTAAGACAGGGTCTTACAATATAGTTCAGGATAGTACTGAGCTTACTCTGTTGCCCAGGCTGGCCTCAGACTTGGAGTGATCTTGCCTTCTGATTGCTAGGCATATAGACATGTGCCATCATACCTGACAAGCATTTTGAAAATTATCTAAAGTTTAGAGACCTCAGCATGCCAGTTGTAAAGTGATGGTTTAATAAAACATGCTGCTTGCTCAAAAAACATTCCGTACTACGTTTAGAGCAGGTTTATCTGTGTAATTGGCAGCTTGTGTGGTCTTGGACAGGTTACATATTATGAGAAATGAATTTACTTGTCCAAACCTCCAAAAAATTGGATTCCAGAGGCAGTGAAATCAAGGCTTTAATCCATACTCTTGCAAGAAGGTCCCTGTACACACAGAGAGCCATACCAGAGTTGAGAAACAGTGTGCTTTTATTCTTAATTCTCGAGAGTCCCTCCACCCATTGCCCATGGCCTGGGATCTGGGTTCACAGTCTACCCTGAGCAGGCTGTCTCAGCCAGCACCTGTCACTTCTCTCCCTCTCATCCCTTTCTTGTCCCTTCTTTCCTCTGCATCTCTTTTTGTAGTTATTTATGACCTTTTGACTTCTCAGGACCATAATTTAGGAAAACTTGTTTAGTACTTATCTCTTGTCCCAGTACCTTATTTCTGTTGTTTGTTTACAGCCTGTGTGTCCCTGTTGGCCATTGACCCAGCCAATTCTGTAAATAAGGGCCTATTTAGCGATTAATGAAATGTGGACTCTTTTTTTTAGGGGGGGGGAGCTGCTGGAGTTGAACCCAGGGCCTTGTGCATGTAAGGCAAGAACTCTACTACTGAGCCACATCCCCAGCCCCATGGACCAATTAAAAGTATTTTTCTCTCTTACAATCATGTTCTCAGTATCTGTACAATGAGGAATGTGGATTAATGTTTTCTGGATCATGTACCCTTTTGAAAGCTGTGTATTTCCATAGAAATACATCTATTTGAGCTAGGGGTGTGGCTTAGTCATAGAGTGCTTGCTGAGCATGCATGAGTCAATCCCCAGCAGCTTGGAAAAGAAAAATAAAGTGTATATTCTCAAGGTTTTTTTTAATTTTAAGTTAAATGGGACAAGCCTGTCCTGGACCCCCCAGTTAGGAGCCCCTAGGGTGAGATACCCTCTTAGATTAAGATAAATATTTACCTGACTCTTGCTATAAATATCTCACTGTGTTGCCTTTCCAAACATTAGCTGATTTGCACAATAATCCTGAAGGACAGGTGCTGCTCCTATCCCTATTTCACAGATAGGGAGAGTGAGGCACCAAACTTGTTTTAAAGTCAGTGGCTACTAGATGTCAGAGCCAGGATTCAAATCCAGGTAGCCTGGCTCAGAACCTGTGCTCTAAATTAGTACTCTACTGCCTTGAAAAATAGGTTTCTGTACGAGGGAATTGGAGGGATTCTAGGTGGATAAAGCGAACAAAATGATGGAGTTCGGAGCACTATGACCTATAAAGAGGTGTAGATAGCTGTTAGAGAGGAAGGGTAGGGTGGCTGTAAGTGAAACCATTCCCTTTCTGGGAAGGTGACAGACATGGCAAAGGACTAAATACAGAGGTTTGTGTTTCTTTTGAGGTGGAGTCTCACTGCGTTGCCTAGGCTGGCTTCAAAGTTTTGGGCTTAAGCAACTCTGTTGCACCAGACTCCTGAGTTGCTGGGACCATCGCTGGCTGGCACAGACCCTTGCTTTATTGATAATGGAAATTAAAACTAGAGCAGCAGTTTGAATTTACAGGCAGAAGCTTTAATTGGAATATAAGAGAAAGTAAGGGGGAGCACAGCTCTGACAAAGATCAAGCTGGTCTCTTAATAATGGAAAGTAAAAGAAGATAGGAAAAAGGCTTCAGTTTGAGGAACTAAAAGGAGCACTGGTGTGAAGCAGTGGATCAGACTGGGCCATTCAAAAAAGAATGGAGGTGAATTTTAAGGATACTGTATCAGTCCGGGGGTCTGGTTGATTATTATCTCATTCCTAATTTTGTAGCTTTGGAGGAATCCTCGTGGCCTGAGTGCCGATGCATTCCCATGAGTTGATTGTCTTTGTTTGGAATAGTCTCAGTCATGTGAGGCTTTGCTTTTCCTGGGACCCACAAGATTACAGGCTTAGGACAATGGCTGGAGACTTCTTGGCATTCCAGGGAGGTGGTGTGGAACTGGGCAATATAAAAGCTGACAATTGGATGCCCCTGTAAATCCTGAGAAAGACATTTCGTTAGTCTTATCTTGGTGTCCTCAGTCCTGAAGGGAGGATTGAGATAGGCTGTGTAAATTTAGGGCTGGTAAACCTTATTTTGCCAACTTTTCCTCAATAATTAACATACTTATATCCAAAGTTTTAACTAATAAAGGTTACAAAATGAAGGTCAAGCTTTGTTCTATTTTAGTTGCTCATTATAACCTGTCTGTAGCCTCAAAGGGAGAATTATGTTTTAAAACCCACTTTAAGGTTCTGATTGCCTCAGGATAAAACACAAAACATGCTTTTAATGAGTAACAGTTAAGGGGCCTGGAGTGAGTTTGTCCTCTGTTCCTATGGTAGTAGTGTCTGTCATGACTGTATAAGGACTCCATGTGTATGCTTCACCCCTGGCTTTTTAAGGCAGAGTTTTGAGGTAAATATGTTTAGAAAGGGGAGGAGCAAGATAAACCAACAAGATGAAAAAATACAGGACAAGCACTAGAAAAGAAATGTGGTGGAGATGTAGCTTAGTGAGAGAGCTCTTGCCTGGCATGTACAAAGTCCTGGGTTCAGTGAAAAGAAAACATTGTGGAAACACATAGGAGAAAGAATGAAAGGAGTGGGTCATCAGCAGCGTCACTTTTCACCAACAGGCTTCAGTCTTGTACTGTCCTTTCTCAGTAGAGTGCTGGCGTAAGAGCTGGTACAGGAAGTTACTAGGGGAGCAGGTGAGGAGAATTAGAAGGAAAAGGAGGCTCCAGGGCCCACCTGCCTGTGTTCAGATCTATGCCCTATGCCTAGGGCAAATCACTTCCCTTCTGTGAGCTTTAGTTGCTTTCCTACTTATAAAAAGGGAGTAATAACAGTGTGACCTCCTAGAGTTGTTTTGAGTTCTCAGAGGGTGTGCAGGCACACCCTGGCAGTGGCATCACGTCTGCATATCCTCCAGGGCTTCCATTCTGCTGCTCCATTACTGGAATTGGTCTCATTGCGTCAGAAGTCTTCTGTGTTGATTCCCTGTATGACTCTGGAGTCAGGCCAGCCTGTCTGTGAACCATACTCCACAGCCACATCTTGGGCAGAGTTCAGAACCCTTCCAACCCTGTCTTCCTCACCTGCTAAGTGAGGAAGGAAAAGTTTCTCTTACCAGGTTGTGGGCATTACTGTAAGACAACCTGTGTGCACAGAGCTTGTGACAGTCCCATCACTGAAGGGTGCTTTGACTTTTGCATTCTGAGCAGTCCTTTTAGATATTGGGTACCTTCTCCTGTTGAAGGATGCAGAAGCATATTCCTAGGATGTCTCCTGGCTTTGTCAGACCAGACCCAGTACAGAAGCACGTCTCAGGGATGAATGGCCAAGTGTGCACCCCAGGTAAAGACTGTGGAAACATTGGCTTGTGCGACACTCAGAGCAGGTCATACCCAGGACTTGTCCTGGTCCCTAGAATGAGCCTTGCTATAGCATGTTAGTTACTGTGTCACACTTGAGTGACTCTGTCAATCTTTGTTATCCTGGAGATATATCTCTTCTGAGTTTGACTTTTGTTACTTGAGCTTTTAAAAAAAATTACAACAGATACATAGTAAATGTGGCTATATTTATTTATCTTTAGGGTAGAAGATATGGCCATGTGTACACTCTGTCCTCTGGGTAACAGTGAAGCAAATGACGTTTACATAAACTTGGAAACAGGGCCTTGAAAGAATTAAGCTTCAGTGCCCAGGCCAACTGCTGTATGCCTCAAAGTTGCATCTCCTGGGGCATTGGGAATGGTGCTAGTTGGATCCCCTGTGTCACATGGTTCATTTCTGTAATCTGTGTTCAGCTGAGGGGCCTTGGTTGAGAAAGGCTTTGAGTAATAGAGCCATATACAGTATGTAAGGATCGGGCTGTGGAGGAAGGAGGTGCCTTGGTGCACTGTATAGGTTTGCTGTGAGGCAAGAGGGAGATGAGGCAGTCTGTTGCTAAGACTGTCTAGGAACAGCTGACATAGTAGTTACACCAATGCTGTGGGTTCAGGCCATTGTTACTGTACAGAATTGGTCCCAACCAGCTTCTTGGTCATTTATAAATTCCTTCTTCCATATGGGCTTCAAATTCAGATTGGTAGTATAAACTATGTAAGTTATGATGCCAAAACATCGCTGTCCTCATTGTCCCAATGAAACAGAGTTAGAGTGCCCTCAAAACATGGCAGGCACCCAAGCTGGCCCCTTTAAGACCTGGCAGGATTGACCACTCTCCCCATGAAAAGTAGACAGCTGGTGCGGTGCTCATAGACCAGGAACAGAAAGGGGCGGTCCACGGTGAAACGCACTTGGGTGGACAACGGCATGAACCCCACTGCGGTCACAGCTGCAGCTTGGGTGCCCTCTTCATTCACCGTGATGGTGCCTTGGTGCTTGAACTGTTTGAAATTGGAAAGGAAAGGTGTCAGATTCTATAGTTTGGCACATAGAAGGATAGTGATGGCGTCTAATCTCATTCAAGGTTAAGGTCCAAAAGCCACACCTAAGGCAGATATCACAGCTTATCAAAATTACCCTTGAAAACATCTTTCCTCATTTGTCAAGTGTATAGTTGTGCTTAGAGGCTGTGTACTTACCTTTCAACTCTGGAACCACATTCACTCTTGGCCGTACCCATAGTCTGAGAAGCCTTGGGAACCAAGACAGTTACCCTAGTATTCCATCTCCTCAAAGTCTGGGGCACGTGTCCACCAGGAACAAAGGGGTCTGGATCTGCCACAACATTTGGCCTGGTGTTCTTTCTCTTGCTGAGTGCCTGTTTTTGGTTTGTTAAGTTAAACATGAATAGTGTGGATTCTCTCTATGTGTTTAATGAGTCTTCCACAATTTGGCTGGGCATAGCTATTTTGCAGACTTCAGCACGTTTCTCCTCATTTGGGTGTTAGCAGGAATGGGGTTCATCCCAAGGCTGCTTCCTGTGACCACCCTGCCCACTAAGTAACTGGCAGCCACACCACCCTCCTGGCCAGCACCTGTGGAACTGACTGTGTTGTGTGTCAGTCCAGGCCCAAGACAGCACGCTTAGCCTCTCCTGACTTGGAAAGTCAGACTGGATGGTGGCTGGCTGGGAAAGACAAATGGAGGTGGAGCTTGAGCAGAGGCAGACGTTGGGGGCCTGTGCAGAGGAGGGCGTCATTACCAGGTCAATGGTGATCTTTTGATTTGAGATTCCCGACATGTTGCCTTTCTTGTCAAACAGCTCTGTGATCCCCATAGACTTCAGGGCCTCCACCAGATTGTAGTTCTTCTCCAGCTTGAATTTAGGCAGAAGTACCTCCCGAGTTCTAGTGGCAGAAGAAGGGGGGCCTGGTTTTATTGAACCATGAATTACAAAATAATCATGTTTTTCCTATTAAATGTGGACAGCCTGCCACAGGTTGCATATGTCACAGAATTGATACAAAATAGCTCTTGTTAAAAATTTGTATCTTGGTACTGTCAGTGGGGGCTTTTGGAAAGACCACCCCACTATAATTCCAGTTACAGTCAGCCCTTTGTATCCACAGGCTCCATCAACCTCAGGCTTAAACTATTAGGGGGAAAATTACATCTATACTGAACATGTACAGACTTTTTGCTCTCATCATTTTCTATACAACATAACACAACAACCATTTACATGGCATTTACATTATTAGGTGTCATAAATAAGAGATGATTTAAAATGTATGGGAGGATATACACAGGGTTGTATGCAAATATTATTTCATTTTGTATGAGGGATTTGATTTTGGCATCTGCAGTTGAGGGTAGTTGTGGAACCAATCCCTTGAGGACACTGAAGGATGACTGTATATACGGTTGAGGCTTTTGGTTCCCTGACTTCAAACATTTCTTATTTTGGTAATTTAAAAGTTGAATATCAGGTCAGTGTACTTAAGAAAAACCCCTTCATATATATACACACTAGCTAGTGCTAAACATTTTCAGTCCTTGTCATAAACCATTCAGTCTTCTAAATGGGTGAACAGAAATATTAGTGCTATGGGGCCATTTTGGCATTTTATGGAGGACAAAAAGATATAAGATGCAGTCCTTCTCAGAGCTCGCTTTCCTTTGGCAGACCAAGACTCACATTTGTGAACTGGTGAGAACAGAAGGATAGTACATTAATATTTGAGTAACTAGAACAGATTTAAGTATTAGAACTGTCCAGGAGAGTGATGTGGAAGAATGGGTATCCATGTGGCTTAGGAAGATGTCCCAGGCTTAAGAGAGGAATGGATCACTGTGTGAGCAAAAATTTGGAGGGAGTGTGGCTTGCTGGAGGGAAAATAGGACCTTGCATTTAACTGGAGAGGTGGGAGAAGAGCAGAGGGAAAGGAGGAGGACCTGAGCAAGCCAGATGCAGAAGGGTAGATCTGTGAGCCAGGCTGAGAAGCTGGGCTGGCTTCTGTGGGTTGGGGGTTCACACAGTTTCTGTGTGAAAAAGAAAAGCAGGATGGAAAAGGTGTCTTGGAAATGCCTATTGGTGCTTAGTACCCACATGGACTAGGAATGGAACCAGCAGGCTGCTTTGGCCTGGGGTGAGAGCGGAGTTATGATCTGAGAGGTTAGGAAGGAAGTGTGTACAGAAGGGACATTTCTAAGGAAACATCCACAGGGCTTGTTGATTGATAAGCTTCTTCTAAGGGCCTGCTTCTCAGTTTTGTTGCATTTCTTTATTCTCCTATAAGGAGCCCTAAACCACATGCGTATCTTTTTTTTTTTTTTTTTTTCTTGAGACAGGGTCTCGCTATGCAGTTCAGGTTGGCCTTGAGCTCACTTATGTAGCATAGCCTGGTCTCGAACTTGCAACGATCCTCCTGCCTCAGCCTCCCAAGTGCTGGGATTACAGGCATGTGCCACCATGCCCGGCCAGATTCATATCTTGATCCAGGACTAGCCAGTATCCATTAAAACAGAAATGTGAACCAACCTCTCCATTCTTTCTGTCGTGATACAGTAATAATCTCAGTAAATATTTTTAAATCTATGGTTGTAAATACAGAGTAATGTATGATAATGGAGGAAAATTATGAATGATAGTCCTCAGTAGGTTAAGAGGACCTCAGAATTTCCCAGGTGGGGCAGGGGAAAACTTAAGTTTTTGGGATGTCTCCTAGGTTCCAGGCACTAGGAGGGAAACACTTGATGTTGACACTACCTATTCCATTTGTTTCTCATCTTGCCCCTGGGAATTAATTAACTTGGCCCCATTTTACAGTTGATGTACCTGGTGCTTGAAGTACAAAGCAAGTACTGTATGTGGCAGAGTGGGGATTATTTCCAAGCTGATGCTAAGCCACCTGCCCCTACCCTCTAAAACTGCCCAGGGAAGAGCAGCTGTGTTGCTCATAAGTGGTCTGTGACCTTTGCTCATCAAAGATGTTATTTGAGCTGATTTAACAGAGTGACCCCATGTGGCAGTTTTTGGGTAGTCATGCATATTTCTTTTAGAAAACATAACTAGAGTATATTCCTTTATAGTCTCAGCCTCTAGGAGATTGAAAGAGCAGACACCCTGACGTACCTGTTTGTCATGCTTTTTTGCCACCGCTCCACCACCTGGGGCGTCAACTGTGCTTCCAGAGTCTTCAGCCCTGACAGCTTGTGTGGGACCACGATTAACATGCCGATGCCCCCCACATACTCCAGCTGGAGGACATCACAGTCGAGCTCCTGGTCAGTTGCTGCAAGGAAGTTTCCCTTGGTCTGCATCATGGAAACCTTGACCACCTCTCGCTCATTTAGGCGGAAGTTGTGGTTATGTGTCATTTCCACTGGGAATTTGTTCACCCAGGATCCTATAAAGTCACAAGGAACAGGGCAGTTATTAGAGTATTCCTTTAAAGCAGTGGTCCTCACCTGCAGCATGGTCCAGATCCCCTGGCGGGCTCTGCAGGTTCCATTCCCAGAGTCTCATTCCCTGGTCTGGTTTGGGCTGAGAGTTTGCATTTCTGTCAAGAGTAGTTAAATAGACTGAAAGAGATTGTGGGTTATATTCAGACACTAAATAGGTCTTTGGCCTGGGCAGGACACATGAGTGTTGTGATATTACCCTATAGATTTAGATGTGTATCCAGGAGTAAGTCCATATTTGTTTCAGCTGTAAGACGCTTGTAACTAACAGTAATTGGGACTAGTTGACAATTGATAACAAGCCAGGTCTTCATCTAAGCACCTTACCTATATTACTTTATTTTCTGCTCTGAGCAGCTGTGTCTTTGAGGAGGTTTAAACACCAGATGGCTTTTGCCTGCACATTGTTATAGCTTTACTTTCTAATTCTGCCTCACCTAGGGTGTCTCAGCTATAGCACTGTTGACATTTGGACCAGATAATTCTGTACAGTATGGGTTGTCCTGTGCAGTTAGGTTGTTTAGCAGCAGCCATGGCCTTACATCCCTAGAAACCAACTGTGTCCCCTCTTCCCCCTCAGGTTAGAATAACCACAAGTACAATATCTCAGACATCCGCCCTGGGCTCTGTTGGCAATGACTCCTTTTTCCAGTGCTGATGAGAAGAAGCCCATCAGAAGTTCTGACAAGTTGATTCCAACATTTGGAATTAAAATAAAATTAGTAACATCGATTTAGAAAGTAGAAATTAAAATTATACTTACAGACCTTTCTCTCCTTTGAGAAACACTAATGAAAGATTGAGCGATATTAGTGTTTGATCCTTTCTGAATCCTAGCGTTGGAATGACTATGCTAGCATGATAGAGAAAGGCAGCATATAAGTTTGCTATTTGTAGACTTTAGTGTGGCTTAGGCTATTATGTTCAGGAGATGAAATGACCGTGCATCCTCATGCTGACTGGAATGACCACCTACTTCTGAACTCTGGCTAGGACTTGGGTAACCTGGGATGCCAGACAAACTGGTAAGACCCAGGGCTTTGGTGCTGCCAAAATGTTCTAACCTGTTCTGAAGTCATGCCTAAGCAAAGATTAATTGCTTCTGAAAGTAAAATAAATGTCACCAGCAATAACATACATATCGCATATCATGTCATATTCATATGATAATCTACGCTTTCACTCACTTGGAGTTCATTGAGCTCTTGCCGTTTGCCACACACTGGGCTATGTGTTTCTTTGCTCTCTTTGGTTCTCCCCACAGCCTTGTGAGGGTAGGTGTTTTCACCTCCATAATAAACTTGAGGAACTGAGTCACAGAGATGTTGAATGTCTTGCCTAGGGCCATATAAATGAGAAATGGTGAGGCCAGGACTTAGACTTTTGTTTGCTCAATTCCAAAACTTAAAACAACCAGTGATGAAAAGGTATATATATGTTCATCACATATTATATATATATATATGTGTGTGTGTGTGTGTGTGTGTGTATACATGTATATGTATATGTAATATGTGTCTCTGTCACAAATCTGTTTGTGACTCAGCCTTTGATTTCAGCCGCAGTGTGGCTGGCATTGTACCTGGCTCTGGGAAAAGCCCGGGGCTCAGATTTCAGCAGCACTCTAGGCTGCTTTGCGGTCTTGTCCTCTTCAGCCCTACCTGGCAGCCCACCTAGTAGGGTGCTGCCTTGTGAAGCTGCTGGGAGGCACTCAGCCTAGGTGTAGATAGGGAGTACTAATGGATCAGGAGGAGCCCTGGCTCCATCTCTATCAAGCAGGAAGCAAGAAGACCTCTGTCCTTTGTTATGCAGCTGCTGCTGCTGCAGGAAGCATTGACCTCCCAGCAGCTGATCTCACTGGTAGTTGTTGGTGGCAAAGGGAGGCATGGCTGTGTTTTGCTGTGATTAATTCTGATGCTGAGCCATCCCTGTGTCTTCCCTGCAGTTTTGAAAATAAGTTAGAGGCTTCTTTTGCTCATGTTCCAGGAGGAAGCTTGGATTTTACACATCCATTTTCTACTCTTTTTTTTTTTTTTTTTTTTGAGACAGAGTATCCCTGAGTTGTCCAGGCTAGCCTTAAGCTTGCAGTCTCCCTGCCTTAACCCCCTTCATGGCTGAGGTTACAGGTGTGTACCATTACACCCAGAGAAATCCATACCCATTTGTTCCTAGGATTCCAGGAATCCTGTGTGTGTGTGTGTGCGCGTGTGTGTGTGTGTGTGTGGAGTAGAGTAGAGTTTAGTAGCCTCCTTAAAAAGTGCCCTTGGAGCTAGGTGTGTGCAGCATAGCTGTAATCTCAGCATTCTGGGAGGCTATGTGGCAGGAGGATCACAAGTTTGAGCTAGACAGGGTGATTTAGTGATTTAGTGAGACCCTGTTGGGGAGGAGGTAGTGACTGGGGCTGTGTGAAGGCCCTAGGTTCAGTCCTCAGTATTACAGAAAAAAATTTTTTTGAGACAGGGTTTTACTATGCAGTTCAGGGTGGCCTTGAACTCACTTTGTATCCCAGGCTGGCCTCGAACCTGCAGTGAGCCTCCTGCCTCAGCCTCCTGAGTGCTGAGATTACCGGTGTGTGCCACTACGCCCAGCCAGTAAAAGAAAAAAAAAGTTTTTAAAAGTGTTTTTGTGACAGGTATGGTGACACACACCTATAATCCCTGCACTCAGGAGGCTGAGACAGGAAGATCATGAGTGAGTGCAAGGCTAGCCCGGGCTACAAAGTGCCCTTCTATATTGACTGGCACAGAAGAGTTGCTCAGAAAATAAAAAAATTATGGTTAATTTCACCACCTCCACTGCTTGTTAGAGCAAAAGTATTCTCAAAAGGAGTTGTAGGTATTAAATGTTGGTTACTCTATCTGAATAGCTCTGATACTTTTTTTTTGACGGCATTAGAGATCCTGGTAGG